GCCCGTGGACGCTGTTTACAAGGACACGCGCTTCCTGACAGTGACGCGAGCCGCCTCCTCCCCTTCCCCACGCTCGAGGAGGGGGGCGCAAGGGCCGCTCGCGAGACGGCCAATCAGAGCGCGCTTCCGCAGCTGACAATAGCCGTATAAAGGCGTGTGGCTCCGGCTAAGCGGCCGGGACCTTGAGCGCGGCAGGCCAGCGTCGGAACCAGCAGGGAGAAGAAAGCCGGGGGAAGCGACACCGAGAAAGCGAGCGCGCCAGAGAGGGGCAGAGGGACTCTCGAAGCCGCACAGAGCTTCCGCGCACGGCGGCCGGCTGGCCTCTCCCGGCGGGTGCCAGCCCGGGGACCGCGCTTCCAGACACCCAGTCCAGCCACCGCCAAGGACAGCGCGCCGCTCGCAGCAGCGAGGCCCGGGGCGGCCCCGCAGGGACGCCCCCAGACAGCCTGGGCCGTCCGGATGTGCACTAAAATGGAACAGCCCTTCTACCACGACGACTCATACGCAGCGGCGGGATACGGCCGGGCCCCAGGCGGCCTGTCTCTACACGATTACAAACTCCTGAAACCCAGCCTGGCGCTCAACCTGACTGACCCTTACCGAGGTCTGAAAACACTCGGGGCGCGGGGTCCTGGCCCAGAGGGCAGCGGTGGTGGCAGCTACTTTTCCGGCCAGGGCTCGGACACGGGCGCGTCGCTCAAGCTCGCCTCATCAGAGCTGGAGCGTCTAATCGTCCCCAACAGCAACGGCGTGATCACGACGACGCCTACGCCCCCGGGACAATACTTTTACCCTCGCGGGGGTGGCAGCGGTGGAGGTGCGGGGGGCGCAGGGGGCGGCGTCACCGAGGAACAGGAGGGTTTCGCCGACGGTTTTGTCAAAGCCCTGGACGACCTGCACAAGATGAACCACGTGACACCCCCCAACGTGTCCCTGGGTGCCAGCGGGGGGCCCCCGGCGGGGCCTGGGGGTGTCTATGCCGGCCCGGAACCTCCTCCCGTCTACACCAACCTCAGCAGCTATTCCCCAGCCTCTGCACCCTCCGGAGGCACCGGGCCCGCCGTCGGGACCGGCAGCTCGTACCCGACGGCTACCATCAGCTACCTCCCACACGCGCCGCCCTTCCCCGGCGGCCACCCGGCGCAGCTGGGCCTGGGCCGCGGGGCCTCCACCTTCAAAGAGGAACCTCAGACCGTGCCTGAGGCACGCAGCCGCGATGCCACGCCGCCAGTATCCCCCATCAACATGGAAGACCAGGAGCGCATCAAAGTGGAGCGCAAGAGGCTGCGGAACCGGCTGGCGGCCACCAAGTGCCGGAAGCGGAAGCTGGAGCGCATCGCTCGCCTGGAGGACAAGGTGAAGACACTCAAGGCCGAGAACGCGGGGCTCTCGAGCACTGCCGGCCTCCTCCGGGAGCAGGTGGCCCAGCTCAAACAGAAGGTCATGACCCACGTCAGCAACGGATGCCAGCTGCTGCTAGGGGTCAAGGGACACGCCTTCTGAGCACCCCTTCCCCGTACGGACACCCCCCCCCCCAGCCTGGACGGCTGGGTGCACACCTACCACAGGACGAGGGGGCAGGCTGTGGGCACCGCCCCGGGGCATGGGGGCGCCAAAAACTACACTGGACCCCTGCCCGCCCGCTCTGCACCCAGTCCTTCCACCTCGACGTTTACAAGACGCCCTACACATTTTTATTTGATATTTTTTTTTCTGCTGGAAACAGACTCGATTCATATTGAATATAATATATTTGTGTATTTAACAGGGAGGGGAGGAGGGGGCGATCGCGGCGGAGCTGGCCCCGCCGCCCGGTACTCAAGCTCATTGAAGACACTGGGGTGGGGACCCCCGCCCCCTGCCCTCCCCCCTCTGCACCGTACTGTGGAGAAGAAACACGCACCTGGTCTCTAAAGAGTTTAAGGTGTGTTTGTGTGTGTGTGTGTGTATGCGCGTGCGTTTGTTCTGACTTTTTATTGAATCTATTTAAGTAAAAAAAAAAAGTTCTTTATTAATTCCTGTTGTCTTTTTTTCCAAACCGGGAGGGTGGAGGGAGGAGAGTACTGGGATACCCCCACCCCGCTGCTGTTTGACTTGCTTCGGTCTCTGTGTCACCTTGCCAGCTCCGCCTAAGCAGATCGCATTCCCAGCCCGGGTGTCCAAACCCTCCGCGCGTTCCGTGATTCCGGGGATGGAAAGTCCAGGGCGGGGAAGCTGTCCAGCCTCCCAACACCTGGGGGCAGGATGCCTGGGGCGATGTGCGCAGTGCGCAGGCGTGGCCCCGCCCAACAGCGCACGCCGGGGTTTTCCCCGCTGACGCAACGGAAGCGCTGACCATATAAGGGTGAATTCTGTCCAGTGACGCGACGGCGGTCTCCGGGCAGATTCCGGGAATCCCCTCCCCCCGCTCTGCCGGGCAGGGGCCGTGGCGCCCGGAAGAAGGCCGGGATTTTCCCAGGCGGGTGGCTGCCGGGGCCCGGAAAGCCCCAGGCCTGGGTCCAGAGCGTCCGTGGTGGGCGGGCCGCGCTCCAGAGTCCAGGGAACCGCCCCAGAGCCTCCCTCCTCTGGCTGGCGCCCTGGCCCCGCCGCGCCCACGCTGTCTGACCTGATCCGGTTGGGGGTTTGCTGCTGCCTGCGCGTCCTTGCCGCCACGGTCCCCCTCACCCCCGCCAGGAAGGGCGGCACCCGCCTGCCAGTTTCCCCTCCCGTTGCCAAGCCAGGATCGGGGTGACTGCCAGGTCTGGTCCTGCCGGGGCGGCTGCTCAGGCCACCCGGCGCCTCAGCCGCTCTGGCGCAGGGTCCTTTCCCCGGAGCTGGGATGGGTATGAGGGCTGCTGGTGCGCCGAGCCTCGGAGTTGTAAGCACTCAGAACAGCAGAGAAACCAGCCCACAGGGGCGAGGTGTACAGTACAGACACTTCATTAATTCATTATAAAGTACTGAACAGCCCAGCCCTGAAGACACAGCCTGGACCACCACAGCAGGCAGATAATAAACAAGGAAACATGATTGAGATGGTGGTAAGTGCTAGGAAGAGAAGACAGCTCAAAGCAGCAGGGACGGGGCAGGGGAGATGAGAAGCTTTGGAGAATAGATTAGGAACATGGATCTTTGCAGCAGCAAACCCCCAACCGGGTCAAGTCAGACTGCGTGGGCGCGGTGGGGCCAGGGTGCCAGCTAGAGGAGGGAGGCTCTGGGGCGGCTCCCTGAACCCATGAGACCAGATTTGAAGAAGCCTGGCCCTGATACTGGGTAACAGCATTCTGAGCAGAGGGAACACATGCAGTTCCTGTGGCTAGAACAAGATCAGCCTGTTAAAGAACAACAGTAAGAAGCCAGTAGGTCTGGAATGGAATAAACCAGGAGGGTGGAGATAAGGTCAGAGAAGACCACACAGGGCCTTGGGGAGAAGTGTAGATAAAATTCCAAGGCTGAGATTAGTGATTTTGATGGGTATTAGGCTGGATAACAATATTAATAATGATGAGTCTATGCCCTGACCGGTTTGGCTCAGCAGTCAGAGCGCCAGCCCAAAGACGGAAGAATCCCGGGTTCCATTCGTAGTTCAAGGGCACTCACCTAGGTTGCAGGTTTGATCCCTGGCCCAGTCGATGTCCCCCCCTCCCCCAATCCACAAATCAATGGAAAAATATCCTTGGGTGAAGATAAAAATAATAAGAGGTCTATGGATTAAATGAGCTTGTCAGTCCTGTTTTGTGGAAGGAAATGGAGGATCAGAGTGGCAAAGTTACTTGCCTGGACACATGCAGCATCAATCTGCACTCATGGGAAAATTGCCTTGCTCCTGACACCTGCCTCCCAGCCTATGCCTCACCTTCCATACTAGGGGCTGATAGGCAGCCCTTCCAACCTTTTGTGGAGCAGAGCTTGCCCACTGCATGTAGCTCAAGCTCCCCCCTTTTTTTTTTCTTTTTGAGAGGAAGGGAAAGAAACATCCATTTGCTGTTCCACTTATGTATTCAATGGTTGCTTCTTATATGTGCCCTGACTTGGGATCAAAGCCCCAACTTTGGCATATCTGGTTGATGCTCTAACCAACTGAGCTACCTGGCCAGGGCCTGAAGCTCCCACTCTTGGTTCTGCTGCTGGGACTGGGTCCCCACCCTTTTTGCCATAAGACTGGACTCTTCTTCCAGGCCCAGGAACCCACCCTAGTAACCATTCACTGGTCCCCAAGTGTTACGTACTTTATTTTTTTCAAATAATTTTTCTTTATTGCTTCTAGAGAGGAAGGGAGAGAGAGAGAGAGAGAAACATCAATGAGAGATCAGATTGGCCGCCTCCTTCATGTCCCTCATTGGAGATCAGGCCCACAACCTGGGCATGTGCCCTAATCCAGAATAGAACCAGCAGCCTCTTGGTGCATGGGTTGACACTCAACCACTGAGCTATACCAGCTGGGCTACTTTAACATGCATGGTGATCTGGCTTGGTTGTTTTTATTTCCATTTGCCTGATGAAAAAAGCCAGGAAAGATCACATCTCTTAAAATGACATTTAAACCCAGCCTGGCCCTGGCCAGTTTGGCTCAGCGGTTAGAGCGACGGCCTGCGGTTGGCCTGGGTTCCCGCTAAGGGAGCGCACCTCGGTTGCAGTTTGTCCCGGCCCTGGTTGGTCGGCTGGGCCGGTGGCAGCCACTAGATGTGTCCCTTTCACGTCGATGTTTCTTTCTCTCTCTCTCCCTCTCACTCTATCTGAACAAAAAAATGGAAAAATATCCTCGGGTGAGGATTAAAAAGAATAAAACAATAAAAATAAACCCAGCCTGGCTGATGGCATGGTTCAGGGACTTAACTCTGGGCAAGAGGCAAACAGCCCCACCCCCAATTGCCCTTAGGCCAAAGGTGAGAGAAAAGTGAACATGGGGTAAGACTGCCACCTTGTGGTGCCGATAAGTAACTACAGTATCAGTTTCTCAGGCCAGAGCTTGGGTGGGGGGGGCAACAAGAGACAATAGGACAGACCACACCAACACAGACTCACACCTGTCCCTAATACTTTATTGGTCACCTCTAGGCCTGTGCCCAGTTGGAGAGCTCCAGGGATAGATCACCATTCATCACTCAGCTAGGAATATGAGAAGGCCTTGGTCTAGCCCTTCAAGTCAGGACTGTGGAATATGAAGGGGCAGGTTTGGCCTTTTCTGGGCCAGCACAGGGCATCCAGGTGGGGGCCATGAGCCCAAGCTTGGTGCCTGTCTGCTAGCCTAGTTGTGTTTGGAGAAGTATTCCTTGCTGTCATTCACATTAGGCTTGATCGTGTCACTGCCTGGCTTCCAGCCAGCGGGACAAACTGGAAAGACACAAGGATGCACATATGAGACTACTGCCCCACTCAAGGTAGGTCAGCAGTGAGAGGCAAAGCAAGATGCTGAGTTGCAGAAGAAAAAGCCCAGTGCCAAGTGGTCCAGGCCCAAGACCACACCACACATTGACAGAAGCCCCTAAGCCCAAGTGCAGAATTTTGTGGCTGGTGTTTTTATTTCTTTTTGGCCCCTTTAGCCCCATCTTTTTCCCTCAGCCCCACTCCTACTAGACTTTGAGAGGCCATGGTCAAGCTGGGTCCTCCACCCAAGAAGGCACTCTGATCCAACTAATTTTATTAAAGCCCGCCTTGATACATGCTTTCTCAAATACCTTTTGTATAGACTTTATTGCTTCCCAGCTCCCCATCCTTATTATGAGGTATCTCCCCCATCAAATTAGAAACTTTCTATAGGCCCTGACTGAACCTTTTTTGGGGCCCTCGCATCGATGTCACATAGCTGATAAAGCAGGTAGTGAATGTCCACATGAGTGACAAAGAGAGGGTCTGTGTATTACCCATGTGTGAACACATGTACGTGTATGTCCACTTACCTTCCCCATGCTCATCTGTGTACTGGAAAGCCTGGACCAGCCGTAGAGCCTCATCCACAGAGCGCCCCACAGGTAAATCATTGACGGTTATCTGGCGAAGGACACCCTTGCCATCAATGATAAAGAGGCCCCTGAAGATGTAAGGATTCTCAGTGAAGAGCTGGTAGCTCCCACTGGCAGGGCCAGGGGAGGGAGCACCATCTCCCTTCCAGACACAGGGCAAAGGGCAGGGAGGGCATTGCCTAAGATGGTCCCCTCACCCTGAGGATGGGGGTCCCCTGAGAACCCCACAATACCTGTAGGCAATGCCCTCATCTTCCTTCAGCACGCCATAATCATGGGACAAACTTCTGGTTACATCAGCCAGCAGGGGGATGTTCAGGGGGCCCAAGCCTCCCTCCTTCCGGGGGGTGTTAATCCTGAGAGTAGGGGAGACAGGGTTGGAACCTCAGAATGCCTGACACAGCAGGTACTCACCCTGTGGGCCTGGGTGTGATAAGAGCTGGAGAAGGGGTGCTGGAAAAGAGAGATAAAGGGCTTTGGAGCAAGGCACTGGGAGTCCCACCCACCCCACCCTGAAGTGGGTGCAGGGGCTATTTCCCACAGCTGGGAAGACTAAGCTAACACTCTTGTTCCAACAAAGTGGCTTCACATGTGCTGGTGGTTTCTAGCATCTTGGGGCAAGAGTTCCCATCCTCCTCTCTAGCTGTGTCCTGGGGCTCAGCTCTCCACTCCCTTGAACTGGAGTTGCCACCTTCTTGAAATAGTTCTTGGGAGGGAGATTGCTTTGCCCTAATGAGCTAAAGCATTTGCAACTTCGCACCAAGCAACTAGATTCCAAAGGCTAATTACTGTCGACTTCGGTGTCATTATTTCCATTATTTTTAAGATGAGAAAGGTAGGTGCAGAGGTTGAGCAACAGCCACTAGAACACAGCTCCAATCCTGTAGAGGTGTAGGTTTGGCTGCACCCTCCCTCCCTGTTGGTCCCCACTCATACCAAGCTAGGTGGGTGAACTGCGAGTCTACAGAGACACCCAGCACCTCGCAGCCCAGCGTGCGGAAGTCCTCGGCATGCTCGCTAAAAGCGATTATCTCCGTGGGGCACACAAAAGTGAAGTCCAACGGGTAGAAAAAGAGGACCACGTATTTCCCTGGAGAAGGGGGCGGGAATAGACCAGGAATGAGGGCCCAACGTCCTGCCCCCACCTGCCCCCCGCCCCGCCCACGGCCGCCCTCACCTCTGTAGTCGGAAAGTTTCACCTCCTTGAAGGCGCCCTCCACCACGGCGGTGGCCTGGAAGTCCGGGGCGGGCTTTCCAATGTGCGCGTTGCCGGAGGCCATGACTGAAAGCGGAGACCCCAACCCCGCCCCGCTGCCCGGTCAGTGCGCCCGGGAAGACCCTTTGTCCTCGCTTCCCAAGGTCACGCTGCGTGCGGGGCCCGGTGACTGAGTCGGAGTGGCGGAGGTAGCGACACTGCCCCGAACCCTCCTCGGTACCGGCTGTACGCGGCTTTTAGACCGCGGGAGACCCTCTCCCTCCCGGCCAGCAAGAGCCGCCCAGCCGCTGCCGCTGGGCCTCCCATTAGTGTGTCAGCCTGAAGGCAGTGCAACTGGCTCACCGCTGGAGGAGGAACCCTCGCGCAGGGGCGGGGAGCACGCCAAGATGCGGCCTCTATACCCCCACCCCACCCCAAGGACAAAGGCGTCCACCGAGGCGGGTGGGAAACAAAGGCGGCAAACGCTGACGTCTGGAGTGGGCCGGAGAGACTCCAAAGGGGCTTCCCCCAGCCCGGTGCGCTCCAGGTGTCCCTACCTGCGTGGGGGAGGGCGGGACGCAAACACCAGCAGATCCGCGGACTCGCGTTCTTAGCGCCAAGTAAGCCCAGGGCCGCGAAGCTTTATATGCGTGGCACGAACCATGACGCTCAGGGCGGGGTGTGGTGACGAGAAGAGCGGTCGGGTCCACTGCCACCGTAGAGGAGGGGAGCGAAGCAGGCCGGTTCCGCGTGTCTGCGGGCGGCTGGGGAAGACGCACAGCCGCTGGCCGCGCCCACTGCACCCACCTGCGGGGGTAGTGAGGGCCCCACAGATCCCTCGCGGGGCTCGGCCCCGGAGCGTGCCGGTGGCGGTTGGGGTCCGGCATGACTCCGAGCCCAGATGCGTTACTGCTGTCGCCTCTGATGTTACTGCTGTTGGCGACCCCTGCCCATGTCTACCCCGACTACCATTACTTCGGTGACCAGGGCAAAGGCGACACCTGGGAGCAGCTGAGGCTACAACATCAGGGGGAAGGTAACCACGGGCCATGGGTGTGACAGTGCAGAAAGGTGCCTCATTGCCCTATTTTGCCAGCTGGCTGCAAACAGATTCTCCTCCGTGGACTTAAGATCGCCTAGCTAAGCACCGGTGGCGTCCCTAGGGCTGGTCACTTTTGTCTGAGGCTCAGTTTTCTCATCTGTAAATTGTAATAGAGACTGCCTTTAAGCAGCTTACGCGGGGAGAGGGGGCATGAGCAGGACCCAAGCAGACACATCCGTAAACCCAAGGATAGGTGGTAGGAAGGGCGGAGACAGAGAAAGAAGGTGGCAGGTCAATTTCTGAAGTCTGAGAAGGCCTGGCTGAAGAAGATAGATAACCAATGCACCGGCATGACAAGAAAAGCAAAAAATGCAAAGATTTAGGGGGAAGAGTGTTGCCAGGGAGTGGGAAAAGCATGTGCCAAAGCCAAAAGTCCTGATGGAATGTAACCAAAACCCAGATTCACCTTCCTGGTGCCATGAAAGCCAAACTCCTGAGAGAGATGTTGGTGAAAAAGGAAAGAGGTTTATTCAAGTGTCAGCCATCTGAGAAGATAGAGGACTCTTGTCCCAAAGCTCATCTCCACATCTTATTGCAGGCAGAGGTGTTTATAAGGAGGAAGAGGGAAAGCGGAACAAAGAGATCAAGGGGAGGGGATTGAACAGTTTATGCACAAACCAGCACAGTCCATTCTGACAAGAACCTCAAAACTGGTCAAGTGATGGTCTGGTGTGCATGAGCCTGGTTTTTGTCATCCTGGTTTTCCCATTGAAGGCCAGCAATTCTCCTAGAGCTGGGATGACTGAAGGTCAGAATCTGTATCTTCTTAAGTTAGTTCCTAGGATTCTTATACAAACATACTGTTTATTTGCAAGCTACATATTAGTCAGAGTCAGCATCTACAGAAACAATGTGAAAAGAATGGAGGAGTGGGTTACAATTTCTCACTGTTACAGGAAGAATGAAAGATGTTAGTGTTGTGTGATGGAGACTTGGTGAGTTACGGCCTGTCTCATAGAGCCTAGGGAGAAGTCAGTAAAAGAACCCTGTGAAAAAGAATGGTTAATTGCTCAGCAAGCTGTAGTTGTTTTGTTAATTCTTCTTCTTATTTTTTGTATTGATTTTAGAGAGAGAGGAAGGGAGAGGGAGAGAGAGATAGAAACATCAATGAGAAAGAACATCAACTGGCTGCTTCCCGCATGCCCCCCACTAGGGATTTGGTCCACAATCTGGGCATATGCCCTGACCGGGAATCAAACCGGCGACCTCTTGGTACATGGGTAAACACTCAACTACTGAGCCACACTGGCCGGGAAAGTTGTAGTTGTTTTAAAATTGATCATACTTGCGCCAGGCCCGGTGTTCATGGCCCGTGAGAACCTGGTGCAGGTGCAGCCCTGCAGGCAAAGGGATTGTTCATCCTGCAAGCCAATGGACTGCGACTGGAGGCCCTGAGACCGGGTGAGCATCGGCCTGCAGTCTAGAGAGACCCGGTTCAGTTCCTGCTAAGGGCACGTACCTCGGTTGCAATTTGTTCCCGGCCCTGGTTGGTCATGCGGGTGGCAGCCACTCTATGTGTCCCTTTCACATCTCTCTCTCTCTCTCTTTCTCTCTCTCTCTCTCTCTCCCCCATGTACAAAAAATGGGAAAATGTCCTCAGGTGAGGATAAAAAAAAAATAAAATTGATCATACTTGCCCTGGCCAGTTGCTCAGTGGTTAGAGCATCAGCCCTCAGACCAAAGGGCCTTGGGTTTGATTCCTAGTCAAGGGTGAGTACCTGGCTTGCAGGTTAGATCCTGGGCCCACCAGGGTTGTGTGGGAGGCAGCCAATCAATGTGTCTCTCACATCGATGTTTCTCTCTCACTCTCTCCCTTCCTTCCTTCCACTCTATCTAAAGATCAATGGAAAAATATCGTCAGGTGAGGATTAACAAAAATAAAATAAAAGTGATCATACTCATTGTTTTTGTTCCATGAGCTAGCACAGTGCCAGGGACTTTTAAGTATCTTTATTATGCTAATTATGTCATTTAATTTACCACCTGACAGACCTGCTGGTCAGGTGGTATGGTGCCTGCCAGACAGGCTCATGATTATGTCCCTAAAGACAAGAGTCAGCTTATGAGGGTAGGCACGAATGGTGTACCACAGTTTCAACTGGCACAGGCGGGAAATGTCAGTTTGCAGTCCCTCTGGGTCATTCACCAGATGTGTGAGCTCAGAAGGGTGGTTTGCTCTTTCCAGGTATCAGTTTCCCGATCTGGGACTAATGGGAAGACTAAATGAGATCATCTATGACAGGGCACCTGGTACGGGGGCACAGCACTGAAATATGAGCTGTTGCTGTTAATGTCTTTAGCCTCCTCCCTCCCTAGAGGAGGGCCTGAGGGTAGGTTCTTCCATCCCCAGACTTGGAGGACTCGATCCTTGGCCCTTGGGGAAAGTGGCGCTGTCTTTGCGACCTGGGCAAGCAGGAGCGCAGCCGCGAGATGCTGAGTACAGCGCCAGGCCCGGTGTTCATGGCCCGCGAGAACCTGGTGCAGGTGCAGCCCTGCAGGCAAAGGGATTGTTCATCCTGCAAGCCAATGGACTGCGACTGGAGGCCCTGAGACCGGGTGAGAGACAGGCACATAGGAGGCAGGCCAGGGTGGGCTGGCAAGTCCCCAGGGTGAGCGAGAAGACAGGAAGAACTTCGGGGGTCACAGACGAGGTGGGCACTTCGAAGGGACAATTGGAGCCCTAAGTCTGGGGCTTGAGGTGGGGATGCAGGGGGAGAGAGCTGAGTCCTGCTGATATCAGGGCAGAAAGGAAGAAAGATAGTGGGGGAAAACATGAAGGAGCCGTGACCCTGAGGAAGGGACATGAGCCTGGTGATGGCCAGGGACCCACAGGCAGAGAGGACATGAGCCCTGTTGAGGCCAGGTAATAAGATGGGGGACAAGAGGAGGGCGAGGTGGGGGACAACATGAACCCTGATATAGAGCAGTCTTATGAGGTCTAGGGATCTCAGACCTTGGTTTGGAGGAAGAGGAGGCTTAGCTCGAAAGAGAGGATAGAAAGGGGGGTCGGAGATCTGGATGAGGTACCGAGAGGGAGGTAGTTGGGGGACCCCAAGTCCAAAGACCTGAGCCCAGTGGGATGGTATACCTAGTCTAGGGTGCTTCGACTTTATGGAGTGACAGGGATCGCGGGTGCAAATGGCCTAAATCCAGGTGGGGGATGGGAATTCTGGGAGCGTAATGGTATTTCATCTTATAGGCCCTGACTGGGCCAGTCTTTCAAGATCCGTCTCAGTTTTCCGTTTATTTGCCGGTTCTTCCACCAGCCCCAGCAGACGAGGCTCCGGAGACCTCGGGGCGGAGCTTCGAGAGCGACCCCTCCTACCCCCTTTCTCAAATTCAGAGCTCTGCGGTCAGCCTCAGGAACTACACTTCCCAGAAAGGAGCAAGGCAGCGGAGTCGGCGACAGCTGCGCAAACGTCAACGGCGGCGAACGCGTTGGGGGCGTGCCCTGTGCGCTGATTGGTCGGAAGCTACAACTACTGGGGCCCGCGGAAAACGCGCGCGGAGACCTGCACCTGCAGACCTCGTTCCTGCAGCTGGTGGTGGCAGCCAAGTTGGCATGGATTTCAGAGAGCTGGAGAGAGACAATATGGGCCGCTGTCGCCTGAACTCGCCTGTGCCCGCAGTGTGCCGCAAGGAGCCGTGCGTCCTGGGTGTCGATGAAGCAGGCCGGGGCCCGGTGCTGGGTGCGCCCCCACGGCTGGGGTGGGAGAGGGACGTGATAAGGGGGCTGAAAATTTCACTGTAATGGGCTGGTATTGCGCCGGATTCGGTTTGTGTTTGTGTGTGTGTGTGGGGGTGATAGTGGTGATAGCAATAGCATTGGTGATGGCACCGAAAAAGTAGTGCCGATGGAACAAGGATGGCGGCTTTCATGGGCTCACTGGTTGGCTCCCCGCTTCCTTAGGCCCCATGGTCTACGCCATTTGTTATTGTCCCCTGTCGCGCCTGGCAGATCTGGAGGCCCTGAAAGTGGCAGGTGAGCCCTTGATGTATGTCTGGGGCGGGGGTTCCTGGGCATGTGCAGGGGCGATGTAAACTGGAGGGAGAGAGCAGGAACTGGGAGAAGCAGCTACTCCCCTTCTCTCCCAACCTTTCTCCCAGACTCAAAGACCCTGTCGGAGAGCGAGCGGGACAGACTCTTTGCGAAAATGGAGGAAGATGGGGACTTTGTGGGCTGGGCACTGGACGTGCTGTCTCCAAACCTTATCTCTACCAGCATGCTTGGGCGGTGAGGAGTGCCCAGGCGGGCCAGAGTAGGGGGGCAGCCAGCCTGAGCTGGAAGGGATCGGTGGCTGGAATGGGGTTAATTGGGCTCTGTTCCCCACTGTAGGGTCAAATACAATCTGAACTCTCTGTCCCATGATACCGCTGTTGGGCTGGTGCAGCATGCATTGGACCAGGGTGTGAAAGTTGTTCAGGTGAGCTAACTTTTGGGTTGCTCCATTTTATTACCTCAGGATAAAATGGGCCATTCAGTGTCAGACATATTTGTAGTACCTCCACAATATTTGTTGCTGCTGTTGACTTCCTACAGCTATTCCTACCCTAAATATGTGTCCCACTGAGGACCATGGTGGGATCTCCCAGCCCCACCCCCATCTATATCTATCCTAAAAGCTCAGTGTCCAGAAAAAATCCCACATCTATCCATTTGTCCTAGTCCAGGGTACCCTCCCATCCTGGACACCCGCCCCATTCTCTTCCCTGGTTCCCCACCTCCAGCTTCCCTCCTCTACAATCTGCTTCCAATACTGCAGCAGCCAACAGTAATTTTTTTGAAATGTAAATCTCAACATTTAATTTTCTAATCACAGTGAAAATTAAAAATTATTTTCCTTATTCATTTAGAAAGAGAGGAAGGGATAAGGAGAGAGCTAGAAACATTGATGAGAGAGAACATCAATTGGCCGCCTCCTGTATGCACCCCACTGGGGATCTGGCCCACAACCTGGGCATGTGCCCTAACCAGGAATTCAATGGGCAACCTCTTGGTGCATGGGTTGATGCTCAAGCACTGAGCCACATAGGCCAGGCCACAGTGAAAATTAAATCAGGAAAATCAGCAGTCAAGGGGAGGAGAATAGGATTAAATTACCAGAGAGAAATATAAGTTGGCATGGTATTTAGTGCTCTGAAGCAAAGAACCAGCTGTTTTGAGAGAATAACATGGGCAAGTACACTTGAGGTAGGGAATGGAACAAGGGAAGCCTTGCTGAGGAGATGGCTGAGGTCCAAAAGAGGAATATGGAGCTGAAAAACAAGGACCCTACCTCAGGCTCATGGCCAAGTCAGGGAGATGGGTATTCAGCTGGTAAGCAAATGATTAAGGTGATTTCTGAGAACAATGACTGCTGTGGAGATCACTTTCCCTTTTACCTCCATGACCTCTTTGCTCCAGACATGGGGTCTCCCCACCTCAGGATCTTTGCCCTGACTATTCCCTCTGCCTAAAACAATTTCCCAGATCTCCACCCACAAGGCTTATTCACTCCCTCATTTCTTTTAGGCCTTTATTCAAATGTTACTACCTCAGGGTGTTCTTCCCTGAATTGCCCACCTTCATTTAAAAGGACAGTCTCGCCATGGCCAGTTTGGCTCAGTGGTTGGAGCGTCGGCCTGCGGTCCAGAGAGACCTGGGTTCAGTTCCCGCTAAGGGCACGTACCTCGGTTGCATTTTGTCCCCGACCCTGGTTGGGTCGTGTGGGTGGATACCACTCGATGTGTCCCTTTCACGTCGATGTTTCTCTCTCTCTCTTCCTTCCACTCTATCTGAACAAAAAATGTCCTCAGATGAGGATAAAAAAATAATAAAATAAAATGACAGTCTCTCCCAGCTGGTGTGGCTCTGGATTGAGCGTGGTCCCATGGACTAAGAGGTCCTGGTTCGATTTTCCATCAGGGCACATACCCAGGTTTTGGGCTCAATCCCCACTAGGGAGTGTACAGGAGGCAGCCAATGGATGTTTCTCACATCAATGTTTCTATCCCCTCCCTCTCTAAAAATCAATAAAAACATATCTAAAATGACAACCTCTTACAACTTTTCCCTATCCTTTTTTATTTATCTTGTTTCTTGTCTGTGGCCCTCACCAGGGTGTCCCCTCCATGAGAACATGGATTTTTGTCTGGTTTGTTCGCTGCCATAATCCAAGTATTAAGTGCAGCTCATGGCATGCAGTAGGTGCTCAGAAAATGTAGACTGGGTACAGCTTGATCAGAAAAAGCCTCTTTGAGTGATGATGCTTGAGCTGAGACCCCTGAAAAAGATGCAGCCTAAGAGAAGCTAAAAGAACAGTATTCCAGGCAACAGAAATGGCAAGTGCAAAGGCTATGAGTCTGGATCATTTGCAGTTGTTTGTTGAGTGAATACATGTCTGTCACCTCTGCAGGTATTTGTGGACACTGTGGGACTACCAGAAACATACCAGGAACGGTTGCAGCAGCGCTTTCCTAGTATTGAGGTGACAGTCAAGGCCAAGGCAGATGCCCTCTACCCTGTGGTCAGTGCTGCCAGCATCTGTGCCAAGGTAAGCCCCTTGCTGTCCATGACTGGCTCCCAGCATTCCTCTGGGCAGGGGGCAGGTGTAGCTGCCTCAAGGGAGGAAGATCTCAAGTGCTTGTCTTGCCCACAGGTGGCCCGAGACCAGGCCGTGAAGAACTGGCAGTTTGTGGAAAAACTACAGGACCTAGACACCAATTATGGCTCAGGCTACCCCAATGGTGAGCATATGGTGATCAGAGCTGCTTTGGGAGCTGCCCTGAGATAGTGATACTCTGACAAGGCAGGCCTGAGAGTGGTTCTGCTTATCGTGCTCCACAGTGGAAGAGGCTGAGGCCCACTTGCTCATGGCCAGTGTGTGGCAAAGCTGGTTTCCAGCTGGCAGGCTCCTTCCTCTCTGCTTCCCCCCTCTGTCTGCTGTCTCTCTGGAGCCCCAGTGAGAGACTGAGACCTATGGTGGGTGTCTGTCTATTTGTTAAGCAAAAGGGGACAGAGTGAGGGACACCGACTTGTGTCCAGTGACCCCAGCTTAAATCCATAGTTTTCTCCCCAGTATGAGACTTAGTTTCCTTGTCTGAAGTGGAAGTGATTGTTCTCCCCCAATACACCACACACAAGGGCAGATTCGAAGATTCAGTTGTTGGGTTCAAGGAATCCCCTGGTCCTTCTGAGGCCCAGGAAGATTCTGGAAGGTGGAAGGGGCCACACAGTCTGTGACTGGAACTTAGGTGAGGCCAAAGTGAAGAAACCAAGTCCAGGCCAAAAACAGTTTGGCCAGCATTCAGTGCTTACTGAGTACCTGATACATGCTGTGCAGGGCCAAGGCTTGGGGATATAACTGTGAGCAAGACAAACAAATATTTCCCTGTCCCCACTGAGCTCATGGTTATGTGGGGGAGACGGGCATTAACCTGATGGTTCACAAATGCTGGTTTAATGATTATTGTTCTTATGGGGTAAGGGAGATGTCTCAGAGGCAGTCTTCTTAAATTGTACCTTGAGCAACTGAAGGTCAGTTGAAGAGTTGGAGGGAAGCTGCCTGTGCAAAAGCCCTGAGGCAGGAGGATGTCTCAGACAGTGAGAGTTGCCTTAGATACTCAAGAGGAGGCCTGAGATGAGGTGGTGGGGCCTCAGATGGCAGGCTGAGGAGCTGGGACTTTATGGCAGGACTCGGGCTGTCACCATTACCTATTCCACCCTTTCCTTAGATCCCAAGACGAAAGTATGGTTGAGGAAGCATGTGGAGCCTGTGTTTGGCTTTCCCCAGTTTGTCCGGTTCAGTTGGCGCACGGCGCAGAGCATCCTGGAGAAGGAGGCGGAAAGCATTCTGTGGTGGGTGTCTCAGTGGTGCTGTGAGGAGGGAGGGGGACTAGGGCTCAGTCCTGCCTGGGAGGGCTGCCCCCCTGGCAGGTGGTCATTGTCACCACTTCTCACCCACAGGGAGGACTTGCCAACAGGGGATCAGGAGGGATTAGGGAGGATTACATCCTATTTCAACGAAAGCCCTCGAAACTGCCCCCATCTCCCCCATCGGTACTTCCAGGAGCGCGGCCTAGAGTCAGCCACCACTCTCTAGGAACCAGCCTGTACCCTATTTACCCTCAGTTTGTGATTAAAATTGCTTAAGGAAAGCCAAGCATGGGGGTTGTACTTTGAGATGGAGGTGGGCAGGGGTGTGCTCTGTGGCTGAACCCAGCTAGTGACTTTTGCAACCTAAATAAGGTGGTAGGCGCTGGTTAATTGACTTTATTTTATTTACTTTTTAAAATGTTTGTGAGTTTATTTGAGCCAAAATGAGGACATATGCCTGGGAGCAAGATCTCAAATGCTCCCTGATTTTATTTAAAAATATATTTTTTCTTTATTGATTTTAAAGAGAGGAAGTGAGAGGGAGAGAGAGATGGAAATATCAGTGAGAGAGAACATTGACTGGTCACCTCCTGCATGCCCTCCACTGGGGATTTGGCCCACAGCCTGGGTATGTGCCCTGACCAGGAATCAAACTGGTGACTTCATGGTGCATGGGTGGACGCTCAACCACTGAGCCAAACTGACCGGGCCCCTCCCCCATTTCTGAGACCTGAATATTCCAAGTTACTGAGGCAAGTTCTCCAGGGTACAGGCCATCATCATTTACACACTAGTGTGACTCAGTCCCTAACTCTAGGACCTGAGGATTAGAAGTAAGACACTTAACACTCTAGCAACTATCTTTGCCACCTGTTTCCCCAAGAAGCTGACACATCAAATGCTCTAGTTGGTGACTTTATTTAGGTTGGGGGGGTGGAAGAGGAAAATGAACTAGTGTTGAGTTGTTTTTCTAATAATCAGGACAGGAGAGAGTCTCTGGGGCTCCAGGGAGAAGGGACAGGGCTCTAGAAATTAGAAGACAGAGAGGGAAAAAGGTAGAGCTCTGAGTGTCTAGAGGTGCTGGGCAAGGGAGTGGGGGTTAAAGGGAAGCCTCTCCCATCTAAGGCCAGTTGCTGCCACTTCCACTGCCACTCCCGCTGCCTGCCGCATTCAGGATCCAGCCACGAGGATGGTGGGAGCGCAGCATGGTGGTTTCCCGGGCCCTCCGTCCCTGTCTGGGGTTGGGAAGCACTGAGATGGAAATGTTGAGGCAGTGACCAGCACCAGGAACTGCCACCGGCAGCGCGTAGCCCAGAACGGAGCGGCAGAGGTCCACCCCGTCAGTGAAGATCTGGGAGAAGAGGTGGAGAGTTAGGGCCCGAGTGGGCAGAGTGCAGATACCTTGTGAATGTGGCCGTCTGGTGCAAGCGGAGGGTGTTTTCAGGACCAAGACCTTGGGAAGGGAAAACCCTGGAGTTCCTTTGAGAGTAGGGGCCCAAGGGTGGTTTTGGGACAGGCAGTTCTCACCTCAGGGTCCTCCTGGGAGTCTGGGGGAGGGGCCATAGTGGGGGTGGGGACTTGGGGAGAGCCATTACTTCTTACTGGGGCCCAAGGTGGCTGGGGCCTTGGGGAAGGTGATGGGGCCTTTGGGTCTTCAGACTGTGGGTGGGCCTAGAACAGTGACAGTCCCTTGGGAAGGGCAAAATCGGACTCAATGGGCCTTAGGGAGACTATAGGCATATATGCGTATGTATTCTATTATGGAGGTTGGGCTGTAGGAGTGGTAAGGATGGGAGCAGGGACTTGGGATTGCCAACCCAGACTCTGGGGCCTAGGCAGGTTAAGACAGCACATAAATAAGGGGAGGTTTCAGCCTCTTCCCTGCACCCTCTGATCTGACCCATGCTAACCTGCTCATAGGTACTGCAACCAGGGTAGCAGTTCCTCTTCTCTAGGAGTGGGAGCCAAGTTGGGCCACAGGTGATATCGCTTTTGCAGGTGGCAAACCTGGGGGGTTGGTGTGTGGAGAGAAGGTGGGTAAAATCTCTGCAGTTGTATTCCGGTGGGATTCTTACTTTCCAAGGATCGATCCCATGTAGTTTCCTTCCCCAGATCCAGTCTCTGACTCTTTGTATCACGCCCCTACAAACACTGTCCTCCATATTTCACCCCACCCCCTACTCTCTATGAGTACCAAAGGTTCTTGTCACCGTAGCAAGCATCCCTGCCCATCACAGACCATCTATTCCAGGCCAGCCCCTTACACTTTCAACCCTTTTAGTTTCTCTTTTCACTCAAGAGGCCCACCCCTTTATTTAAAAACCAGGTCCATGGGAGGCCATGCTTCTGTACTGCCAATCTTAAAAGCCAGGGGCTCTACAAGCTCTACCCCTTTCTGCCTATCCTGAAAGCATTAGGCTTCATCCTTTAGAACTTGGCCGCATTGGAGGTAGGCCATGTCCCTTCAAACATTAGGACCTGAAAACTGCAGATCCTCCCTTCGGTCCTGCCCAAAACATAAGGCCATTCTTCCCACACCCCACCTCTCCTACCAGGCATGGCAGAGCTCCGCGCAAAGTGGCTGTGTCTGGTGTATCCCCAGTAGCAGGAAGCGGAAGTGACTGTGGAGGGAAACCTGGAGATGTCCCAGGAAGGATTCGCACCTGCACATCGGGAGAGACAGGTCCAGATGGGTCAATATGCGATGGGGCTTTGGCCCCTGGTTAAGGCAACTGGAGCAAAAATCACAAGGAAACACTGGGAGGAGCTGTACTTACTCAGGGCTAGGCTCCCTACAGCCCTCTGAGAGGATTCCAGGGTTCAGTGCCTCTGGTGTGTCCATCTCTATGGGACAACAAACAGGACAATGGAGAAGGGAACCCCTTTTAGTTGGGGTCTTGGATCCTTGGGTAGGGTTGACCTCAGTTATATAATTCCTCCCAAACATAAAACTTAAGACACTTTGCTTGAGGTGTAATGCATCTTCAGGTAATAATAATCACTTATCATAATCAGCTAATTTTTATGTCCCTGGTAGTGGTATAAGTTCTCAAATGCTTACATACACCCCTTTACAATACTCCTATGAGGTAGGTCTATTATTTTTCCCCCTTAATGGTCCACATGAAGCCCAGAGAGGTTAAGTGACTTGCTCAGGGTCACACAGCTATAAAGTGGCAGAGTTGGGATTTGAACCCAGGCAGTCTGACACCAGAGCTTGTTATAGTTAACTACCATTCTTCAACACTAACCCAGGCTACCCACCCTGGTCACCCTAAGTCCCTGTAATAAGGAAATTCTGTCATTGCTCTGTTGGATTGGAAGTTGAGGGTTTGGCAGGGTCTGGAGTACTCACCTGCTAGGTGCAGCTGGCCTGTGCCCAGATCAGATGCCAGCCTATGGTGTCTCTGGGACCTAACAGAGAGTGTAAGGCTCCCTCCACAGGCCCCTAGCAGGATCCATGCCAGGGTCAGTTGCAAGGCCCAGCCCAGGCCCCTGGGTTGATTATGGCCCCTGCAGGCCATGTCCACCTGAGATAAGAGTCAGCTGTTTATGGGGTAAGGTTTGTCCGTCCTTCTCTGGGAGCTCAGGGTGGTACTTTTTGTTGTTGTTAATACTCAGTGGAGGATATTTATTTCCATTGATTTTTAGGGAGGAGGGATAGGGAGAGAAAAATTGATGTGAGAGAGGCACATCGATTGGTTACTTCCCCAACCAGGGCCAGGGATCAAACCTGCAACCCAGGTACTGTGCCCTTGACCAGGAATTGAACCTGTGTGGGCTGATGGTCTAACCACTGACCCACACTGACCAGGGCTCAGGTGGTACTCTTTTTTTTTTTAAGATAGTATGGAAGGGAGAGAAAAACATCTATGTGAGAGAGGCACATAGACTGGTTGCCTCCCGCACTACCCCAACCGGGGTCAGGGATCGAACCTGCAACCCTTAACTGGGAATCAAACTCAAGACATTTTGGTCTGAGGGCCGAAGCTAACTGCTGAGCCAAACCAGCCAGGGCTCAAGGTGACACTCTTTTTTTTTTTTTTTAACAAATATTTTTTCTTCCTTATTTATTTTAGAGAGGGAGAGAGAGATAGAAACATTGATGTGAGAGTACATCGACTGACCACCTCCTGCATGCTGCACATTGGGGATTGGGCCCAAATCTGGGCATGTGCCTTGACTAGGAATTGAATGAGTGACCTCTGGTGCATGGGTCAATGCTCAACCACTGAGGCACACTGGCCGGGCTCAGGGTGATACTCTTTTTTTAAAAAATATGTTTTTATTGCCTGGCTGGTGTGGCTCAGTGGTTCTGCATCGACCCATGCACAAAGAGTTCATCAGTACGATTCCCAGTCAGGGCGCATGCCCAGTTTGTGGGCCCGATCCCCAGGTGGGGGGCATACAGGAGGCGGCCAGTCAATATTCTCTTTTATTGATGTTTCTATCTCTCTCCCTCTCCCTTCCTCTCTCTCTAAAAATCAATAAAGAAAATAAAAACTTAAATATGTTTTTATTTCCCAGGCTGGTTTGGCTCATCGGTTAGAGCATCGGCCCACAGACCAGAGAAACCCGGGTTTGGTTTCTGCTAAGAGCACATACTTCGGTTGCAGTTTGTCTCTGGCCCCAGTTGGGGTGGCAGCCAGACGATGTGTCTCTCTTTCTTCCTCCCTCTCTCCCTCCCTCTCTATCTGAAGATGAATGCAAAAATGTCCTCAGGTGAGGATAAAAAAACAAAAACAAAAAATCTTTTCATTAATATTTTAGAGAGAGAGGACAGGAGAGGGAGAGAGAGATAAATGTGAGAGAGAAACATCAATCGGCTGCCTCCTGCATAGCCCCCACTAGGGATCAAGCCTGAAACCCAGGCAGGTGCTCTGACTAATTGAACCAGTGCCCTCTTGGTGCATGGAACAAGGTTCAATCCACTAAGCCACACTAGCTGGGTTCAGGGTGATACTCTTGTTGCACACTCGGGAGATGGAGCTAGGCAGAACAGAGAATGGATAGTTGATGAGGAGGCATTGGCCAAAGACCTTAAAGTCCCATGGGGCTATCAAGGCCTGCCTCTGACCCAGGAGCCCGCCCATCAGACTCGTCCCATTCATTTCTTCAGACCCAAGTGCCCCCCAGTTAGACCATGTTGCCTCTCCCCCCTCCCACCCTTTCAGCTCTCAGATAAACCCCTCCATCCTTAGAACCAAGGGGGACATCCCCAGCTCTTTTAATGTCCTTCTGTCCAGGAATTCTCCCTGTCTTCTGCTCAGTCTCCTCCCTCCCTCTCTATCCCTGCTGGGCCCTCTCATGGTCACCTTCTCTCAGCCTACAATCGGCTTAGGGGCTATCACCCAGGGCTGGGCCTTTGGAGCCAAGCTTGGCAGGGGTAGGACTTGCGTTCTGCCGCTGGGGTCCAAAAACCCAGGTCAGAGGAAACTGGGTCTGTGGAGACAAGACAATTCCCTCCCCTCCTATGCCCCTTTGGGCTACCTCTCACCTGTTAGCAGGACTGGGGTCTAGGCTGCTGCTGAGATACCTCAGGGTTTAGTTCAGGAAATGGTAGAGCTGAAAGGGGTGTGGTTTGATGCAGGGGAGGTGTTTCGCACCACCCCGCCCCCTGCTCCAGCTGACCAAAGGCTGGACGACCAGGGACTAATGTCTTTGCTTTTATGTTGAGGTTGTGGCTTAAACTGGATCTGTATGTGTGGGAAGTGTGAATGTCAAATGAGGTTGTGTTTGTGTGGCTGTTGTGTGTTGAATGTGTATGTTGTGTGCTGTTTATATGTGTCTTGGTTGTGTTCAAAATCTGGATAAGGAGGACTCTATGCATCCCAAACCAACTCTGTACAGTTGAGTAAGAATCAGATAATCGCCCAGCTGGTGTGGCTCAGCAGTTGGAGCGTCAGCCCCTGGACCAGAGAGTCCCGGGTTCAGTTCCCGCTAAGGGCTCCTACCTCAGTTGTGGTTTGTCCCTGGCCCCGGTTGGGGTCGTGCGGGTAGCAGGCATTCAATGTGTGTCTCTCCCGTTGATGTTTCTCTCTTTCTTCCTCCTCTCTTCCTCCTGCTGTATCTGAAGATAAATGCAAGAATGTCCTCAGGTGAGGATTAAAGAAAATAATAATCAGATAATAAATATAGGGGAGGGGAATGTAGAATGAGGTTACAATGGGTGTCCTGTGAAAATGTTGGATCCATGAGTAGATAAATGTTGTTGATCATAAGTGTTGACTATGAGTGAACAAGGTGATATTCTATGTAGAAAGGGTGTGGCTGCATCTGAAATATGTATGTGTGTCCTTTGTAGTTTTTGTAAATATATGTTCCTTGAAAACATTTCCTCAATTCATTCATTCAACATTTATTGAGTACCTGCTCTGGGTCAGATTCTGGGGATGTGGTAGTGACCAAAACATGAAAATCTCAATTCTCATAGACCTGACATTTTAATAGCAGAGTCTGATAAGAAAAACAGCCCTGCAGTTAGTATGTGTGGGTGTGTCCATGTGTTGCTTTGGGAGGATAATGTGTCTGTATGTTAGATGAGAGTGTGTGTAGCTGAGCTTCCTTTGATTTTGAGACTATGTGTGTGTGTTTGCAGAGTGTTTGTGTAGTATATCTTTGCAGAGTGTGTAGATATGAGTATGTGAGGCTGTGTTTGCTGAGGATCTATTGGTATGTTCGTGTTTCTGTGTATGTTTGCAGAATGTTTATGTGTGTATGTGCCTGTGCTGTAGAGCATGCATATGTGTTTTTGTGAGTGATGACCACTACCACAAATCTCTCTCTCTTTCTTCTTAGGCTAGTGCAGAATTTTTGTCTATTTTACTGACTACTGTATTCCTAAATCCCAAAATTAATCTTCACACAGTAAATGCTCAATACGAGTTGAGTAAATGAACCAATTAGGAGGCACTGTTTGGGCCCCCATTGATGTCCTGGAGGTAGGTGTCAGCAACCAAGACCTGCTGTACCTAGCCTTCTCTGGCCCATCTTGGGGTAATCCAGGGTGCTTGTGGGTCAGACCTGTCCAGACTGGTCTGTGCCTTCCGCCAGCCACACTACTCTCCCTGACCTCAGCCCCCAACACTGTGCGTAGATTTCAGCACCGTGGACAGGAGTGCCCAGTATCAGCACCACGGAGAGCTCCCGTGGCTACAGGCGTGACAAGGAGTGACAGGAGCAGAATCCAGTACTTGGACACAGAAATATGAGGAACGGAGTCAACGAGACGACAGTACAAACACGCCAAACCAACAGAAACACATAACTTAGACAAAGGCGCAGAGATGAGGAGACAAGTGCCCGGCGAACACCCAAGCCTTCTTTCACAAGCAGGTGTTGCTCCTGTCTAGCGACCTTGCCTTCCACAGCTTTTCGGCCAGTTAATGGGCCAGGACTCTTGGGAAGAGGCCTCCCCATCCAGTCTCCCAATGCCTAGGCTTGAAATGGGGAGTTCTCCAATGCTTTCCAAGCTAACTCTAACTCTAGGAAGCATGGTCAGTTTGATCCCAAATGTGGGAACACTGTGGTGGGGGTTTTGGAAATCGCTTCAGCTGCCCACCTCCCCAAAGACCAGCTAATCACTCCTATAAATACAGCCTGGCCTGGCCTGACTCCTTAATCCTGACGATGAGGGAGGGGGTCACTAGAGAGACTAGGATTCTCTGAAGAGTCTGCTTGAGCTAGAGGGGCAGTATATGGATGTAAATGCTTTTCTGAGGAGGCCATCTGTGAGGACGGGTCTCGGTAAAAATATCACTCTAAAATGTCTCTCCTTGGGATGCAGGGGTCTTGTGGGTGGGGACAATTTCCCACAGATAATATGGCATTTAGGGGGTCTTTTATTGGGGGTATCTTTACAAGGCTCCCCACATAAAATGTCACCCAAGGAAATTTTTCTCTGCAAATATGTTTCTTCGTGGGGGAGGGGGCTAATGAGAGGAGGCGTCACCTCTCATAGACCATCTGTCTTAGGAATGATTTTCAAGGTGAGAGGAGAGTTTGATTGGAAGCCTCCCTGTGAAGACTGTCCCTGTGGGAATATATCTCCCTGGTAGGGTCGCTGGGGGGGTGGGGGTGCTTGCATAAGGAATATATTTAAGTGAAGATGTCTTTCTTGAGGTGTTTCTTGGGGGTCTACACCTGAGTATGTCTCCATGAGCATGTCTCTTCCCTGGGGTGTCCCCTTGTAGGGGTCTCGGTAGCATGGCGCTCGGGTTATCTGGAGGCTCCTCCCCCAACCCCCAGCTTGGGGAATCTTGGCCAAAGCCCCGCTCCGGCACCCGAACGCAGTGACGGTGCCGGACCCGCCCCACTTCGCCCCGCCCCCCCTCCCTGCCGCTGCCGCCGCGGTCCCGGCGGCTTCTCACTACCTCCCTCCTCCCGCCACCGCGGCTGCCTCCCTCCTCCCTCCCCCGGGCTGCAGCCGCTGCTGCTACCATGGACGACTCGGGCCTGATCCGCCGCCGGAGGCTGCAGGTAAGTGGTTGCCCTAGCTCGGGTGGAGAGAATAGGGTTGGCGCCCTAGGGCGGGACCTGTCTGAAGGCGGAAGAACTTGCGACAGGGTCGGCCCCGGCACCCCCTCAGCCGGCCTCGGGTTCCTACCCGCAGGGAACGCGGTGGCCGCACGTCCTGCCACGCTGGGAACCCCGCCCCTCAGGCGCCGCCCGGGGATCCAGGGAGCTAAAAGGGGGATTGCAGCCGACTGCTCTACCTGGAGGATAGCCTGAGGGGCACCTGGCCCACCCGAGGGGAATGGGATGGGACCGAAGTCATTACCTTGGAACTCTGCCAGGCTGGGGGTGAGGGGGTCTAGAGCAAAGTTATTACCCCAGGGCTTGAGCCCCTCGGGGCCACCAGCGCCACTGCAGCCATAAACATGTTTGTGTGGCAGCCTCGCCCCTCACCATCTCAGGAGCCCCTTTTGGAGGTGTGGAGACCCCTCTGCGACCTCCATGCACCTGCCTGGACATCAGGATTCTTCCTACTGACCTAATTGGACAGGCACCTAAACAGCCTTCCCCCCACACACACTACACCACCTCCCATCCTCAAGTCCAGCGCAGCTTGTGGGTGGGCGGGAGCGATTTTTAGCTCCTTGCAGCCTTAGATGCTAGGTCTCTAGGCTGCGCAGGCGCGGGAGGTGTGAGTCCACTGCGCTGAGTGGGACACTGAAGATTTTTTGTGGAGTGTAGGAAAGTGGGGACAAATCCAGACGTCAGGAACTCCCACTTCCAAGATTGGTGGAGATTGTGAAGCTGAGAAGGGTCCTCTTTTGTCTTTGGTGTGTACTTCTGAGGGTTAATACAGGGATTTGGTGTTACTTCCAAACTGACCTCAAAGGGAAAACTGATCAAAGCTCACCTCAAGGCCTATCTGGGGTATGGTCCTTTTTATTTATTTTTAATTCTCACCCGAGGACATTTTTCTATTTATCATCAGATAGAGTGGGAGGAGGGAGAGAGAGAGAGAGAAAAAAAAAATTGATGTGAGAAAGACACATTGATTAGTTGCCTCCTGCACGACCCCCGACCAGGGCCGGGGACAAATCGCAACCGAGGTACGTGCTCTTGATCAGAATCGAACCTGTGACTCTGATCTGCGGACCGCCGCTCCAACCCCTGAGCCAAACCGGCCAGGGCTGGGGTCTGGTCCTTTTGAGCCTCACTGGAGCTCAGTCCTATGCTAGATAATCTGAAAGGAGTTTAGATAAAGCCTTGTGTAGACCCAGACTCAGGCTATATATACCTCTTGCCTGGAGCTTGGGAAAAGAAGGGGAGAATTCAAACCCTCATACAGGGCCTCGTCCTTTTCTGGACTCTTCTAATCTATCCCTGAGGTTGGAGACCAAGGTGAGCTGATCAGTCATTGCAGCTGGAAAAACCAGGGTCAGACAGCAAGAAGGACTTTCTAGGCGTCTGGATGATGCTGGAGCCAGACCTATGTTGCAAAGCTATTTTGCTTTCAGAGCCCAGATGGCCCCATCTTGGAGCCTTGGAGCCTCTTCAAGTCTTCCCTGGATTCCCTCTCCATTCCAGGGTTGACATAGGAGAAAGGGTTCTGAGAAAAGGGAGGGAGTTGCGGCAAAGTCAGACCAAGTGCTGAAGGAGCCAGACTGGGTACGCGCTGTCGGGTCTCCAGAAAAAAGGAGAGAAGGGGCGGTACCTGCATGGGGTGTGTCTCCGCCCTCCAGGTCGGCGCCGATTCCCATTGGCTCAGCGCCACGCGGGATTTCTGTCTCTCGCAAGACCACACCCCCAGCCCAGGGTCCTCCCACTCACCCTCCTGTCCAGTAGGAGGCGTCCTCTAGTCCTAGCTAAGGGCGCCAGAGTCTTACCCCCACCTCTTCCCATCAGGCAGGGTTAACCAGTTCGCTGCCTGGATACACTCTCACACTGGTGCAACCCCTTAGCAACTGTCCCACAACCACTGAGCACTCAAGGGTTCCATGAGCAGTTGGGATCGTATATATGGACAGCATCCAGGTTCTAATGCTCTGTCCGCAGCGCCGTCCATTAATCCCAATAAGAAGCAGTATCCTCTTGGCAGAGGCGCTGCA